TGCTGTAAAGCAGCATTATTGTAGCAGATACGGCTTTATTAATTAAATTAATAAAAATGTTATATCCCTGCTAAAAATAAAATCAGAAATCAGTCTCAAAACGTCAGGATTTTGATGTTTTGTGATGCTGCTGACTAATTCTGACTTAAATAGTTTTTATGGGCCTGACGTTTTCTAAAAAGTGACTATTTCTCACTACGTTTTATTTTTTTGTAAAAAGGGTTCCAAGAGAGGTACCAAGGCCACTCAAACCCACCATATAACTCTATTATGTTAAGAATGCCATTAAATTTGAAAAAAAAAATTTTTCTATATTTTTGGTATTATTGATATGAAAATGAGATATTTGGAAGATTCAATTTTTCAGGACTCTAGACATCCAAAAAAATTCTATAAATAGTTAAAAATTAAAAAATTAAATAGTTAATTTCTATGAAAAATTTTTAAATATGTTTTTGAAATCCTCAGGACAATTTTTTTTATTTTTTTCAAACCGCTTATTTACTTTTACCTACTACAATTTACATTTTTTTTATATATTTCCTTTTTCCAATAGAAGGGTCATTTCGAGGGTCCATCAGGTTTTATGACTTTTTAATGCAAAATAAAAAATTATTTAAATTTAAATAAATATTTTTTTAAATGTTATATTTGTAATTTATAGATTTTAACGATTCCAATGATATAAAACATTATGTAAAAACACTAAAATTACATAATGATTATACAATAAATACTCCATTAATTAAAATTAATTTTCAATAATTTAAAAATATTTGCAAAAAATTTTATATCGTTGTAATTGTATTAACATGTACATTACAAATATAATATTTAAAAATTATTTTTTTCAAATGCAACAATTTTTAATTTTGCAATGAAGATCCTTCTCGCCTATACTTTTTTTTGTCCTTTTCTAACGTACATATAATATATATGGAATCGAGTTTGTAAGACAAGGACAGAAAAGGGAAGGCGTCAATGACTACGACTATACTTTTAAAGTCCCTACTTCAAATTTGTATTTATTATTTTACAGTAAGCTAGTTTCCTTACATTTAGTTATAAGAAAGCAACATATGTTGAAAACCTATTCTTACCACTGTGTTAACTCTATATATATATATATTTGAAAAAAATTAGAAATCGCTGGCTATTTCACATAAAAGTTTATTTTTTTACAACTAGATGAGCAAAAACATTCTGGTCTCTTGTAAAATAGAATATATGAATTGATCGCTCAATCAATCTCTGAGCGAATTTGATCCAGTTTTCACTCAATATAAATTTGATTTGAACCAAATATTGCATCTAATTATAGTGCAGTATGCTAAAAAGAGTATTCTATTTTTAAGATCTCAGTTAGGTTAGTTTAGCTCAGGGGTTAGGTATTCGGTTTGCGTTCGTTAGGGGTCGTTCATTAATTACGTAAGGATGATTTTGGCTATTTTGACCCCCCCCTCCCCCACGTAAGATTTTTTACATGCATTAGCGCCATTTTTTCTATTGAACGTAAGAATTGCTGGACCCCCCCCCTCCCCCTAAGAGCCTTACGTAATTAATGAATGGCCCCTTAGGTTGAGTTCGATTCCCTGCGTTTGCGAGATTTTCTTCGATAGGGGTAAATAAATATAATAAATTGTAAAAATAATAATTGAGTATGTGTAACGTAGAGATAAAAAAATGTTGTGCAATAATTTATTTTTTTAATTAAAAAATATTGATTTTTTTTTAATTTTTAAATATTTGTAGTCAGAATTCATGAGAAGTAAGTCAGGAATCTTGAAAACTATTTTATAGAAAGAAATGTCATTGAACATCACAAATAGTCACAGGGTTTAATGATTTATGGTATGGACAAAAAAAAGGGTCTCCGACCATCATAAAAAATCTCACTACTATTGACTGTTCTTTGACTAAACCTCACGTGACTGCAATCGTAACAAAAACAGTCTCAAAACGTCAGAGATCCTGACTAATTTTTTGACGTTCTGTGATTTTATTTTTAGCAGGGATTGTATAAAGTTTCGAATATTTTAATATATAAATTTGAAAATAGAAACTCAAGAAACAATTCATTTTAACAAAATAACCTAAAAAAAATTAAATGTTCCTTTTTAATTAAAAATATGACCTTTAAAATTATATATTTAATTTTTATAAAAATGTACACCAATACTTCGGTATCGATACTTTTTTGATCGATACTATATCGGCATTGGTATCGTTTATTTACTAGTATCGATACTAACATATCGATATTTTTTTTAAGTAATGGCACTTTTTGTCTTTATAGACTGGCCTATAAATCACGTTGCGGCTCCCACCTGACTTTGTCGGAGGTACGGTGTACGCAGCTTTCGGCCGCGTAAGGGCCCACTTGTTTGCATTATTTTAAGAAAACCTTGGAGAGGGGGGTCCGAATATGGTTGAAAGTATTCTGCGGACAAAGTTGGGTGAGGGCCGCAGCTTAAACATTGTTTGGAATATATTTTTTATTTAATATTACACGGAGAGAAAAATCAAGGCTTTATATTATGAAAGACTATTCTGCTACTTTTGTATGCACGGAGAGAAAAATTAGGTTGTGTGGACTGGAGACTTAAGTTAAAACTACTTGAGTGACTCAAGTAACGATGCCTACAGTTAAAGCAAAATTGGTCGCACGGTAGTTTTGACTGTGCGGTCCCAAATAGTATTAATGTGCCATTAAAAAGTGATATTTCCATTCATTTAAACAGTTGAGGTTATTCGTGTAACAAGTAATATCAATATGTTAATATCAATAGCGAATTCAAGAAAAAAATTATGCCAATTTATTTATTTGTAAAATATTTAAATAAAAATTTTGCACTTCGAAACTTACAAATTTGTCATTTATCGTATTCGAAGTGTGTTATGGTTTGCTGACAAAATAATTAAATACTTATTAATGAATGCGTTCACAAAAGTAATGTAAAAACACTGTAAAAAGAAAGGTACTAATTTAGTACCAATTTTTGTACTAAATCGTAATTTGGTTCGATTTTAATACCGAAATCAGCTCTAATTTAGAACTTTTTTTTACAGTGAATAATTAATGTACGCTTTAAATGTTGAAATACGACTACGCAATGTCCTAACTTTTTATTATATGTATAACAAGAAAAGTGTCTAAAACTGAAAATCCAACACACAACATAACTTCAAAAAGTGTTTCTTTTTATTTTTACATAATTTTTCAGTTAATTTGAAAAACCTTTGGATTCAGAATTGCTTAAAAACTATATTGTGGACCTTATTATTTCCTTTAAATCATCAAAAAAATGTTAATATTTGAAATTTTTTTAAAAATCAAACCTAACCTAGAAAAAATTAATAAATATAATATTCTATTAATATGCGTGTGTGAATAGCGCCACGCTGCCAAGCAAAGCTGATTGGTCAAACCGTCTGTCGGTATTATTTGAGAACATTATAGCCCTAACTTGATAGCCAAGTCAAATCTACCGTGCTCTCCAGTTACAAATGCCTTGTTTAATAAAATTGGACCAACGACTTGAAACAAAGCAGTTATCACCTAATTTTTCTCTCCGTGTGAACTTTTCTTACTAATGGAGCAAATATTTGAGAATTTTTAGTATAATATTTGTTCGCACTAAGGATACATAGCATATACATGCTTTTACAGTAAGAAAAATGTGTTATAATAGCAACAACGCCAAGCGGAGATCGTACCTAGCTCATCCTTCTACGATTGCAGAAGTTCTATGCTTTTTCGGTATTAGATTCTTGCAATTGACGATTAGGCCACACCTACCTACTCGCCAGTAGACCTTTTCATGCTGATCATTCTGTCTTCTTCCAACTCATGCGTCATTATAAGCGCTAGATAAGGACAGAACGATCAGCATGAAAAGGTCTGTTGCAAGAGTCTAATACCGAAAAAACAGAACTTCCGCAATCGTAGTAGGATGAGTTAGGTGCGATCTCCGCTTGGCGCGACTGCATTTAAGGTATAATAAGTATACAATAAGGGGCTACATGACAAACTTTATCAGCATAGACAAGTTTCATAGAAAAAAGACATAAGTTTATACCAAAATTACTCAAATATTACGCATATGTAGCATATAAAATTTTTGCGCGTTAAAGGTAAACATTTAGATATTACATTGAAAAAATATAAACTGTTTGAATGTCGCGCGTTAATTTTTATATAGTTGGCATCACTACCTGTCGCATAGTGAAGACAACTTCTCTCTTTACATACCTATTCTGTAGTTTAGCCAAAACGTTCGTAATAATGCATACGTAATATTAGACATATTCGTAGAAATACACTCTTATTAGTAAAAACATACGTAGTAATATAAGCCTTTACGTAGTAATGAATGCATGTGCCTTTTTTTAATTCTCTGTTTTTTAATACAAATTAACTTTTTTTAGTAACCTACAGATTTTTTTAGATCTATGAAAGATCAGGTATTCATAAAAAAAGAATTACTAATAAACACCCTATTACAGTGTTTCTCATAAACAACAAAAAATTCAATTTTTTGTCCTTAAAATCGATTTTCTTAAAAACGACTAGATGTCGTAGTAGAATCCTAATATAGCCTATTAGACATTTGAAAATTATATTTCAATTTTAGAATTTTTACGAAAAAAAAAATTTTCTTAATGTGAATAAATATTCAAACCTTATACAGGTTTTAGATATCTACTATTCATAAAAACAGAATCAAATAAGAATTTTTTAAAAACCTTATAGGAACCCTGACTTACCATACATTAGGAACTATTGGTTTTCTACAAATTTCTATTAGGCATTTTTTGCAACAAATGTTCTTTTCTAGTCCCACAAAATTTTTAAAAGTCGAAAAAACAAAAAATGGCATCTTATGCATACGGCAGCTACGGTAAATACTTTTGTCACCAAGATATATTAAAAGTTAAGAATCCCTTTACACCCCAAATTACTCCTATATTAAAATAAGATAAATAACTATTGTACTCACTCTATTTTCATCTAAAAATTTTAGCTTAATGGATACATCTGAGCGTAATTTCTCAAAATGTTGTTTATGTTGTTCATAATTTGTTTGTGCTTCTTCTAATCGTATTACATTACTACTATCTATTTTCGCAGCTTGAGACAATACTTCAAGATCGGTCCTGTATGCATCATATTCTACTCTGAAAAGTAAAATTATAATTACTATAATATTGCTATTATTATTATTATTAGTATTATTATTAGTATTATTATTCAGTATAATAAACCATACCTTGCTGTTTCATACTGTTTTACAGTCAATAAAGTGTCTTCAATTGTTTTATTGCACAAAGTGTTTACAGATGAAATAAAAAAAGTTAAGGCACCAAGAAGAGTTTCACCATTTTTAGTTAAATTTCTTTGTGTTTCTGAATTATATAAAAATTCTTCTTGTAGTTCTGGTGACTTCTGAGCTAGTTCAGAAAATGCTTCTCCAAGTGCGTGCTGCGTTTGAACAACACTATAAAAATGAGATGACAAGGTTCTAGATAATCGTAAAATATTGCAATATTTACGTTGAGTTTCTCTCAGTAAGTCTATTTGAGATTCCAACTCTGAAAAAATTAACATTCAATTTATATGGGGTACATTGTTATTAACATTTTACTTATCGATCTTTAAATCTCTGTTCTCTCTCTTCCAGGAGAGATCGATATTTTTACGACAAATGTGGGCCCTTTACGCGCAGAAAACTATAAAAGGAGGCGTATATTATTTTCCGTTTCAGGAAATAAGCTTCCTCTTTCAATTTCTTTTTCTGAAGAAACATGTGTATTAACAACTAAATTTTTTTAAACCATTTTAGAGACGTTTAGATTTTATAGCATTTTTTTAATGAGTTTATATTTTAGGGATCTATTACTATCATATAGGACAAGAATTTACCAAAGTATGAAGCCAATCCCAGAAAATTGACTTTTTGGGCTGGGACGATTGAAAAAGAATCTCTCATATGTAAATACTCTAATTTTATATTATTTGCATAAAATTGTATACCGTTATAATTGTTTTGAGCTGTGCATTGCAAATATAATATTTATATCATTATTTTTTCAAATTCCAACAATTTTTAATTTTGACATAAAAAGCCATAAAACCACAAAAGACTCTTCCGACTGCTTGTTGGAAACCAGTCTCGCAGGTCACAAAAATTTCAAATATGTTTCCTTGATTTTAGTTATAGGAAAAGCAACACATGTTACAATCCTTTTCATATCATTGGCTATATTTTTTAGAAAAAAAATCTAGAAAACGCCTTTTTCACTTAAAAGTACACCCTTTTACAACAACATGCGCAGAAAAATATCGATCTCTCCTGGAACAGAATATAGTTAATATTAAGCTTATTGTATGCTTTTATATATTATAACATTTTTACCTATTTTTCTTATATTTTTATTTATTATTATTTAAGTCTTAATAATTGGATAATAATAATTATTATAAATTGAATTATACTAGAAAAATGTTATCTACACTTTGAGGTTAATTTTGAATTATTTTAATTTTATAAGGGAATAATTTATTAGCGCCAGAATATTTTATATAAAAAATATACAAAAGTTAATTATTTATTTATTTTAAATATTTACCAGACTAGTTCAGAAAAATGTTAGGAAAACTTCCTAGCGAACCGCGGAGAGGGGAAGGTAAGGAGAAAAACACATTAATTATTTCACTGAATTTAATTTCACTGTAATATTTATTAAAGTTCACTATTCAATTTTATTATTAATTTATTACTTTCTTTTTTTAAATGACATGTAAAAAGTTTACTTAATGTATTCGGCCTATGGCCGAACTTACAAAGATTATTCCGCTTGCCATGCGGTAAGCAAACATCACTTTAATTATTTTCAAAACTTATTTTTTTACGTCCGAGAAGATGGCAACGCCATTTCATTTTTTCACAAAATCAATTTTTGTGCTAAATTGTGCTAATTTTGTGCTAATTTGTGCTGCAAAAATTTTTTTGAAAAAATTAAAAATAGGGGTCAAAAATTTAAAAAAACAGTTTTTGGCAAAAAATTTATGATTCACTTTTATTCCAAACAAATCATTTGTCAAGTTATAATGTAACAACAATACAATCTACCAAAAAAATTAAAAATTTTTTTTTTTTTTTAAATACAAAAATTTAATATTCAAAATTAAAATTTTTAACCATAAAACGGAAAAAATATGAGTCGGTATCAAAACTACACAAGAATTTTCATAAAAAAGTTATATTTTACAAAACATAAAAATCGTTTTTTTTTACATTATGTATTTTTAATGTTGTTTTTTAAAACATTTATTTTTTTATTAATTTTGGTTTTTTTGTTAATGAAAAAAATGTTTTTTTTATTTGTTATTTTGTACATTGAAATTTTTTTTGTTTTTTCTGAACGTTATTTTTTACAAAATTTTTTTTGTTATTTTTTACACATGAAAAAAAATTTTTATTGTTATTTTTTACATACGAAAAAAATTTTTTTTGTTATCTTTAAACTGCATACGAATTAATGTTAAAATTCATTTGTACTTGTAAATGCAGCTTATATACACAGTTTCAATGTATGCATTTAGTTTGTGGGCACCTCAAACCGCCCCAAAAAAATAACGAAAAATTTTTTTTTCTATATGTAAAAAATAACAAAAAAAATTATGTAAAAAATAACTAAAAAAATTATGTAAAAAATAACGTTAAGAAAAAACAAAAAAAATTCAATGTACAAAATAAAAAATTAAAAAAAAATTTTTTTTATTTACAAAAAAGTAAAAATTTACAAAAAATAAAAACAACATTAAAAAAATATAATGTAAAAAATAACAATTTTTATGTTTTGTACAATATAACTTTTTTATGAAAATTCTTGTGTAGTTTTGATACCGACTCAAAAATATCAATATTTACGAAAATAAATTTTCCTGCTATATTCTGCAAGACAAGCACAAAAATAATCTCTGAAAACATTTTTGAAAAACTGTGTTTAATTAAAAAAAATTGCAATTTTATTACTCAAAATTAAGATTTTTAACCCTAAAATCGTCAAATATCAAAATTTTGGAAACTCAATTTTTGTGCTATATTCTGCACGACTAGCACAAAAATAATCTCAAAAAATATTTTTAAAAAACTGAGTTTAATTAAAAGAAATTGCAATTTTATTACTCAAAATTAACATTTTTAACCCTAAAAAGGGCAAATATCAAAATTTCTTAAAAACAATTTCTGTGCTGTATTCTACAATACTAGCACAAAAATAATCTCAAAAAACATTTTAGAAAAACTGAGTTTAAATAAAAGAAATTGCAATTTTATTACTCAAAATTAACATTTTTAACCCTAAAAAAGGCAAATATCAAAATTTTGGAAAATAGATTTTTGTGCTATATTCTGCACGACTAGCACAAAAATAATCTCAAAAAACACTTTTGAAAAACTGTGTTTAATTAAAAGAAATTGTAATTTTATTAATCAAAATTAAGATTTTTAACCCTAAAATGGGCAAATATCAAAATTTTGGAAAATCAATTTTGGTGCTATATTCTGCACCACTAGCACAAAAATAATCTATAATTATAAAACATAATCTATATCTATAAATATAATCTATAAAATTTTTAACTCTAAGAGGGCAAATATCAAAACTTTTTAAAATTAATTTTTGTGCACAAAAATAACCTATAAAAATATTTAAGAAAAACTGTATAATTAAACGAAATTACAATTTTTTAAAAATATTTTTAAAGGTTATTTTTGTGCTCGTATTGTAGAATACACCACAGAAATTGATTTTTCAAAATTTTGATAATTGCCCATTTTAGGGTTAATAATGTTAATTTTGAGTAATAAAATTGCAATTTCTTTTAATTAAACTTAATTTTTCTAAAATGTTTTTTGAGATTATTTTTGTGCTAGTCGTGCAGAATATAGCACAAAAATTGATTTTCCAAAATTTTGATATTTGACCATTTTAGGGTTAAAAATCTTAATTTTGATTAATAAAATTGCAATTTCTTTTAATTAAACACAGTTTTTCAAAAGTGTTTTTTGAGATTATTTTTGTGCTAGTCGTGCAGAATATAGCACAAAAATCTATTTTCCAAAATTTTGATATTTTTTTTTTTTATTTGAAACAAAATATCGAGCCCATAGTCAGGAGACCATTTAAGGGCAATACATATAGTCTATATAGGCATAGAATAAATAATATTCAATAGATTTTATATAATGCAAAACATAATATTTTTAAACAGAAAATAAAGATATATAATTCGTCGCTATTAATTAATATTAAACAAAACAAAAAATATATGTATCATGTTTATGCAAAAAAGAAAAAAGGAGAAATTAAATAATAGAAAATCCAGAGAGGTTTTAGCGTTGAGTTACAATATAATCTTTAATAACGCCTATAAATGAAAGAAGAGGCATGTTAAAAAGGTCGATTTCTGCGTTGTGCTGAAGGCACATAACATTAATTGCATTACACATATTGTATATAGGCGCTGAGAATCCTATTGGTGTATTTGGCATTTGTAAAAGAAACGGTTGGTAATAGCGAGATTGTAATCTTGGTATCTTAAAGTTGATTAGTTCGAGGAGGTTTGGACAGTTGATTGAGTTGTTTATTAATTTAAATAAAAAAATGGACTGATTTATAAACCGTCGTTCAGATAGTTTCAAGAAATTAAAATCTTCACACATCCTGTTATAATCAAAGCCTTTAGGGGGATATGTGCCCGTTTTACGAAATACTAGAAACTTCAAAAACTGTTTTTGTATTTTTTCAAGTAATATAATATATTTATTGAAAACTGGGTTCCATGGAATTGTCGCATAATTAAATTTTGAAAGGACGAAAGCATTATATAGTAATATCAATGTTTTAATGTCCTTGAAGTTTCCGGCATTCCGAATCAGACATCCTAATGCCCTTTTAGCCCTTGTTGAGTCGGAATGATAAAAAGTTTATCTGATTTAGTATAACCTGTGGGAAGTCAATCTGAATATTGCTTATATTAAAGTGATGCTTTATTGCCAATAGGACTCCTCCGCCTCTTCGGTTTTCCCTATCATTCCTAAATGTATAAAATGAATTTGTAGAAAAAAGTTCGTTTGAGTTTACACAAGGTGAAAGCCATGTTTCAGTCAAGGCTATTATATCATAGAAGTTAATATCTGGAAAAATTTCAATTTGTAATATTTTAGTATTTAGTCCTCTAGTATTTTGATAAAAAATTTTAAGATTGTTTTCATTTATGGAACAATTTCTCGCTGGGTTCACTTCTGTACTACTGTGGGGATTCCTTTGATGTAACGTATCATTAAGTTGACCTCTCCGTTCCTGGTACGTTCGTTCAAGAGTATCTTCGCATCCTTGTATTCTCGTTGTTGACGTAGTGTTTTGTCCGGAGCAAATGAGAGATTTTGTAAGAGTGGCGTATTCAGTTTTTTTTAGTTGTCTCGCTGTCATTAGGATTGTCGTAGCTTGGTCTTGGTTCTTGCAAATGACCTTGACTGGCCTTGCCTTGAGAAGAGCCTGAGAAAATTTACCAAGTCTTGTAA